TCAGATCTTAACTTTAGATATGAACCTAAGAAAGCATCATTTTAAGATGTTCAATGATTTTTAAAAAAATATTGATAAATCCTCAAGTTTGCTCATATATCAATGCAAATTTTTTTTTACTTTGTTTCCAGCATTTAATTTATCAACCAAGCCATCAAAGGGAAGATACTTTTCTTTAGGGTTGCCTGAAAAAGGAATGCAGTATAAAAGGAATGCAGTGCAAAAGGATTGCAGTGTAAAAGGAATGTTTTGAAGTTGTTTGAATAAATGTAAAATAAATGCATGACTTTAGTTTTCCTTGTTCGGTTTGAAGTAAAAGTGAATGCAATATAAAATGCAAGAAAGTTGTGGCTAGGGTGGCCGGTGTTGGCGATCGGCAGTCGGCGGTGGTGGATGGCTGGCGGTAGTGGTGGCCGACGGTGATGGTCGGCGATGGTGTCCGCGGTGGTGGTCGCCGGTGGTGCCTAGCGAAGGCGATGCTCGACGGCAACGGGGTGCCTGGCAGCTGTGGATGGCTGGCGGCGATGCTGGTCGGCGGTGTGATGGATGGCCAGCAACGGTGCCCTGCGGTGGTGGTGCCTGGCTAAGACGCTTGATGGCCAGCGGTGGCAGTGGTGGTCGGCGGTGGTGGAAATGGCGATGCATTTGTAGTATATTTGAAATCGCCCAAATCGGAGGAATTCCAAATACACTCAACATACACTACTTAAGGTATTTAAAATACACTCCTTTTACATTCTCCTTTTTACTTCAAACCAAACACAAATTTTTAAAACCCTTACATTTGGATTACTTTACACCCTAAATGCAGGCAACCAAACAGCCCCTAAGTGGTTCTTTGATTCCAACCCAAATAGTTGCAAGTTCTCTGCTCAATACTAATCTTTCCCTTTATTTTTTTCACGCTCATCCAGTGCATTTTAGCTTTGTCAATTAGCTTTAATTAAAGCAAATATTACATCAGCTTCAACAATATGATTTTTCATTCAAAGAAGTTATCAAGATCTATAATACAAACAGAAAAAAAAAATATTAGAATTTTTTTTTCCATAAAACATAGATGCTTGCATTTTAACTTCTGAGTTATGTCATCATCTAAGTCATATATGAAACATCTATGATTATCATAGGCTGCATTATCAAACAGCATGCAAGATATGTTTTAACTATTTTTGTCAAGATGAATTTTTGTCTCATAATCATAACATCCTTCAGAAGGATAGATTCATCATTATGATTAACATCAACTACTCATTCATACAAATGAAATTTAGATTCAATTTTTAACTCTATTTATATCATCACACAATTGATTTTATTTATATAGTCATTCAACAAATTAATTTGCAAAGTTCTCAAATCAAATCCTTTTGATGATCTGTTAAATTACTATAATACTAAGCCTCACTTTTAGTTGATATTTTGACATATCCTTAAACTTGGATACCAAATCTGATGTAAGATGTATAAAAGTCCAAGGTTTCATAATGCGGATCTAAGATGAGATGCACAATTTCATGCACACAAGTCAAAGTCATAATTCATTGTTTGCTAAATTAAATAATTAATCTTCCCTCTAAATGCAAACTAGAAATACATAAATATGTGCAAATTATAATCACATAAAATTCAAGATCATAAAAAAAAAATCACATATTAAATTGAAAACTTACATCGCAATCAAAATATTAAAATTGCACTAGATTTGATAAATAATTAGCCACATAAACAAATCAATTAATAAATTGGAGAATGGAAATAAAGCAAAATAAATAAATCACGAAATAACAAATTAAGCCAACCACCCAACAAGGAGATAATTTCCCCTAAAATATGCAATATCAAATTGCAACAAGCTAGAAACACAACTAGCTCTCAAAATGGAAACTACAGTAAAACTAACATAGAATAACAATACTATTTATATATACATGCCTTAGGAAACCCACTTATAACTTCAAGTTCCCTCAATTTACAAAATTACAAGACAGGGTCAACAAGCTCATCTTGAAAGGACAAGAGTTGTTAAAATCCCACAGAAGTAACCATCGCATAAAACTGGAATTTGCAAGTAACTAGAAATCTTGTAACATATTGCAAAGAAATTGTAAATCTCAAGAAGCTACAATACCTGAATTCTTATAACAAAAGATCAGAAGTCACAGGCTCATAGGAGAGACTTAGAATCAAAAGATCAAGAATAGATTGTTGAACGGGCATTGAGCTAGGCCAAGGTGAAGAGGCATTAAACTAACAAAAAATCAAACCCAAAATCATAGCAGAATCAGTGAAACAAATTAATGTAAGGAGTTTAGACAATCATAGAACACAATCTATTCTCATAAAAAGCATCAAACGAATGATTCAAAGTAAAAAATAATAATAATAAAGAACTTAAATCCCTATCAAAAAAATTAATTAAGTAAAATCAATTAAAATAATTCAGAGTGTAGATAGTCAAGTTGCTCATTCTAATGCACATCTTGTGTTTCTGATGAGTATAAATTTTGATGTTTGCATAACAAAAGTGATGCGGACATCGGTACGAAGATTTGGCGCATCTATCACAGACGGCGTCGTAAATCGACGGGCATTATTTAAATTTTCATTTATGTATTATTTTCTGAATTTTAGCTCTTGTTTTATGTATTTTCCTATTTTACCCCTAGGATAGTTTATGTGAGTGTCTTGGTCCAAGGGGCATTTTTGTAATTTTGATTTTCTCATGTTATGGCCTGTATATAAGGCCTTAATCTATTGTAATGGGATGGTTGATTAATATGAAAAAATTTGTTTTCCACAATGTGTTCTTTTCTTCTTGAGAGATGACAAGAGTGAGATTCCATTGGAGAGGAATCGAAGTTGTCACCAGCCGTAGGATGGGTCTGGGCTCGTGAATTAAAGTCCCTTGGAGAAGGGCAAACGGATCACCCGTCAGTCTTCGGAAGATTCCAAAGGCTCGCGGTTTTATTGTCTCCTTTTGATTTTATTTTCTCCTTTTCGTTTTTTTTTATCTTCGATCTTCTTTCTTTCGTTTTTATCTTTTCTCTAATTGTTTTTCCATCGTCTTCATCCTCCACCCATTTAGCCGCCGGTTTCCACCCCAAATCCCCCCATACCCGAACCCATGCCGTCGGCCTCCATCCACCTAGCCGCCGATCCACTCTCCTCCTCTCCCATCCAAGCTTGTTTCATATTTTAGAATGAATTGAATGTGGGTAGATTTGAAATTCAAAATTAATCATTGAGAATTTCAAAATCTTTTTCCTCTTTAATTAAATTTATTTTAGGAAAGTTTCCATTTTTATCTAATTTGAATTTGAAATTCAAATTGGACTTGAAATAATTTTCCCAAATCGCTTATCTAAATTAAGGAGTTTTAATTATTCTAATTAATCTCCCCATGGTCTATGCATGCCGCCGGTTCCACCTCACCTCCACCTTGGCTTGAAAAAATAATTATTGCCTATTCTCCCCTTAGTGCTTTTGGAAACTATTTTTAAATCACTGTACGTTGCTTATAACAGATCTTTCCTAAGCCTTATTTCCAAATCTCTGAGAATAAGATTTAGGATTTAATTGCTAAATTCCCTCTCAGCTCACCCACATCCCGCCAGCCTCCATTAAATTCCCTGTGTCCAGCCTCCCTAAACCAATTAAGGGAATTTATGAATTAAAATCCCTTTAATTTTCCCTGTGGTCCCGCCGTTAGGAAATTATTTCCCTCCATCTCCTTATCCCCGCTTCCCCCTTCTCCTCATTGCTGGGTTGAAAACTTTCGGCCAATTACTTGGAAAAAATTAATTACCCAATCCTCTCTCTGCTGGCCCAAATTATCTCAAGGCCTTAGCTTGATTTTTCCTCCCAAGCTCCATCCCCATTATTAGAAAAACCTGAAACTTATTTCAGGTTTGATTTGGATTCCTTTCTCTACAAGATTGTAAGAGAATATTTCAGATTTTTGGAGAGGACTTCCTCTCCTTTACAACTCCTACCCGTTCTACATCAAAAAGTGTCTAAGAAAACTGCACAAATAGTCTTAAATTTTATTCAAATATCTTAAAATAACTACTTTATTATATGTAACCTATTCAACTGATTGTTCTAGCATTTATTAATCTCAAGTATTCAAGATTTAATCATAAGTTCCTTAGTCACGATCATAAAAAAAAATCATGTCTATTAGCATATACATTCTTAAGAAACCAGCAAGCTTTGTAACTCCTGGCACTTCTACAAGCAATATAACCTGAACTAATGAACCTTATAAGCACTAACTAAAACAAACATCCGAGACCACATAGACTAGACTAGACGTTCCTACGAGCTTGGGGAAAGTCAAACGAATGCAGTCTCTTTTTTCTGTGAAATTATAAAGGCTTCAAGTATGAAAATTTCCATTTGAAATGAACAACAATGGGCTATTTGCTAATTGATATCTTATTACGATTTTTTGTAAAATGAATGATATTATTGCTCTATTCATGCTTTTCAAGTACCCTTAACTGGAAGAACATACTCGTAAATGAATGCTTTATTATTCAATTCTTGATTTTCAAGTAATCTTAACTATGGGGCCAAAGCAAGTATTCTCGTACTCCAGCATCTCATAATGAGAGAAAAGGTCCAGAATACCTTGTTCAAAATGAGCCAGGTACTATATGCATGCTTAATCAATCTGATGGATCTACTGATTGCAATAGATACCAGGAAAATCCAGTTTTGTATAATAGAAAACATTTGTACATTACAGATTTACATTTAAAAAAAAAAAGAAACCAGGAAAGTAATGTCTATTCAATGATCTATATTCACAGAAAAGCACTCCTAGCCCTTAAGATTGGAGAAAAATAACCTCTGATACGCCTAGAGTACATGCTGCATGCATTAAGGAAATAGGAGATATGAAAGATGCACAAAAGTTAACGATCAAAGATGGGTAGACGTAAACTGGTATAATTGAAGTTCAGATTTTATCTAAACAGCTAGAAGTTTCAGAATAAAACTAAAGAACAAAATTATAATATTTCAAAATCATGAGGACTGGATCATAACTGCCAAAAATTTCTGGTAACATGACTTCAGATTTATACTCTCAAGGAAATAAGTTATGGCATGGGTAAGAAAAACCTCCATGTCTTAATAATGTCATTAACAAACTTAATCAGTCGCATCTCGATATCCATCACCTGGGGGAACAGAATAACCACGGAAAGGAATGGCTTTTGACAAACTATGCAGCATACCTTAAAAGGAAACTCAAATAACAAAGGGAACGTTTTAGCATACCAAGGTAAGATGTTTGTCTTAGCCACACCAGCTACTTAATATACAAAAATAGAACCATGTAGGTACTCTGCACTATATTTTAACTTAGTGAGTTCATCAGAATCTCAGGAATTGGCATGCTTTTGTGCATAGCCCTACAAAAGGAAACATAAATGCAAGTCAGGAACAGAATATAAAGATTCTAAAGAAAGTAGCTTCAATCTTAATTTTCACTTTTTCATTTTCTAGAAGTTAGCCACTTACTTCAACAAGTTTAAAAATTTTTTGTCTAGATGTTGTCAGATACTGGTTTATTGCTTCTTGTGTGCTAGGGATTTGATGGGATTGTAATGCACTAAGAACCTTCTCAACTGATTTCTTAACTACTGTTTTGTGGGCATCTTTACTTAACTGTCCTTCTCTCCACCATGGCTTTAACAATTCCTTCACTAAATCTACTAAAGCAGTATGAAAAATCTTCAATGCTTTAGATTCCTTGATATTCCTGCTCTTATCATTATTTTTCCATTCACCGCCAAGTTCTGCATCTTTGTAATTTGACCTTTCAAGCAAACGATCAGGATTCCATAACTTCTCATTGCTAGGAAAGGAATTGTTTTCCCCTTCTAATTTGGTAGAAGTGAAAAATACATCCGCAGAAGTATGAGCACTAGAATCATGTAAAGATGCATTCTTAGCCAGCATGCCATCCCATGAAATAGCATTTTCAGTTTTTGTGGGAAGAAATGAAGCATTTTGAAAGGGAGTCGTTCGGGAAGTATGGAAACAATCTCTAGCATTGGCAGTCGCTGGTTCAATGCTATCAAGAATTGGATCATATTGACTAGGAGAGGATATACTTTTACTTGCAATGGCCAAAGAAGATCGAAAAGGTTGGGATGGCTCCCAAGCATCGTATTGGATTTTTTTTGTTTGCCTAGATGTCAGATCACTGGGAATATTATGATGTATCATATTTCGTAATTCAGAGCGTGAGTTGTAAGGGGAAGAATCTCTGGTAAGCGAGATAGACCCAGAGCCACGGTATCTTCTATCAAGATCTAACAAACTATGTCCCTCAAGATACTCAGTATTTCGAGTGGAGCCAGAATTTGGTGGTGTTCCTGCACGAGAAAGCCTATAATCCAATTGTGGAAATTGAAAAGAACCGCCCAATCTTGAATTTTGAGAATCCGCCAAACTATGTGAATTGTAAGATTCTTGATTTAGGAAATGACTTTGCACGCTTCTAATAGCATTGCCTTCTGTTTTTCCATAAGGAGATGGACTATTGCTATTCCGGTGCAGAATGGATGATGTAGCAGAACTATCTGAGTAGTGTTTAGCATTAGAAAGAAATGTATCTACTGGACGAGTTCTTCCGGAAATTGTCATGTCATATGGAGAGTCCTCGTTGATTTCGTTAACAAGTTTCCCTTCAATCAGGTGTCTTCTGGATAAGAAAGCATCAACAGGCTGCCTCTCAACAATGGATTCAAAATGGCTCATCTTACCATAAGTTTTCTTGTTTTCTTCTCGATTCGAAGAGTAGTCTGCTTGAACATGATCAGATTGCTGAAATTCTCCTTTACTGTGCATGTCATAATTGTCAGCAAGCTGAGATGTCATGTGGCTTCCTGTACCATATGTCCTAACAAGAGCTCTTTGCAATTGAGAATTACATCCCAACGAACCCTTGGGATTGGATTCTAACAGTGCAGGAGATACTTTTGATCTTTCACTTATTTTTTCTGAACCTAAAGACAATTGAAGATTAGTTGCAAGCTGCCCATCTTCCGAGGCATGTTTAACCTACCTCTTAAATAGAAAATGAAAATGACTATTTAATTAAGTATACCTGTACTGGCACGAGAATCCAATGTCCTGTTATTTCCAAATGTGTCTTCTTTGGTCTGCTGCTCAATTTTATTTACCCCATCTTCTTGGTGAAGAAATTTGCATGAATTCCCTTTGATGCACCAGCCTCTAGCATAAAATACACATACATTTGCAAGTCTTTTGTTCATTCTCTCAGGTTCAGAACCTGGTGAGGAACTCCTAGGCCTCCGTTGTGGAGTATGGCCACTACAGAACGAAAGCAAAGGAAAAATTAAAAACCGAATAGAAACATGATGAGAAATTTCTATTTTTCACAGGAACCCCCAACTTCCAAAATGGCATAGTTAACTTACCACGTGGGGGTCAAGTCCTCTAACAATTGTGAATTGATTTTTTCTTGCAGATGGGATTCACCTTTTTCAGAAACATTATAGTTTACTATCTCAGATTCATTTCTTACACCACCTTCAATAGATAAATCACTTTTCAGAGGTTGCAGGGATCTGGTATTATCAGAGCCAAGTGAGTGGAGACTTCCTTGAGTTTCCAAGGAGTTATTTTTAACATGTTTTGGTGATTCATTAGTGATTTCCTTTTCTAATAGAACCCCCTTGTATGTCTCGCCCAACAAAGTTTCCAGATTTCCATTTTCTTCTGCTGTGATGTGTTCAGAAACTAAAGCAGAACTCCCCTTGCTCACACTTGTACCATTAAACTCTTTGATATTAGTTGAGGGCACCTTAGAATGATCATAAGCATGATGCTTCTCAGCATTATCCCTGGCTGCAAAAGAGAGTCAATTCTGATCTTTAGCATGCACTTAAGATTTCACCATCTTAAACGAATGTACCAAAAAAGAGGAATAGCATATGATAAAGGATAAGACTTTCATGTCATAAAGCAGGTTCAAATGAGCCATCCTCAACTCATGCAAAGATTAAAATATTGGCTTGAGTTGAATTTGTTCTGATTGAAATTTCGAGTCAACTTTTAAGCTTACTCAAGCATATCATATTAGTTTTAACCCCATTCACCGAACATTCCTATTTTCATTTTTCTCTAGCGGATTACATATAGGGTTTCACAAGAACGCACGATGTCTTCTCAATATCGACGCCCGACTTCATCACAACATTAGTGTTTCAAAATCATCTCAACATCAAAGTTTGATGTTTTCTTGCATTGACACTTGACGCCAACAATTTCTACACCCAAAATCATGCCCCACACCATCTCGACATCTCATATTTGTCCAACGTCATCTCAATATCAAAGACCAACGTCGTCTCAACGTCGATGTATGATGCCCATTGCACAACATCGATGACCAACTCTCGACAACATTTTCATCTCCCCTCTCAATACCTGACACAACATCCATGTCTAACTGTCAACATCCTAATATTAATCATTTTAAATACAAATCCTAGTTAAATGACTTATTATTTCTCAATTATTCTTAATATTTTAATTATTCAATTTTTATATACTATTTTTAAGATATAAAAATACAATATCATGTCTGTGTCCTATATTTTTAATAATTGATGTGACTCTTGTTTGTGACATGTCGTGTCCTTGTTGCCATGTTCGTGTCTTTGCATCATAGATAGAAACATGTTAATGAAGAAAATTCAAACATTTATCAAGTGATATTTGGGCTTTTGACCTTCAAACATAATCACAACCACAATCAATGACATACAAGATCAGCTAAAAACCAACAAAATTCAATCTATAGGCCAACTTAAGAGTTGGCCAAACCAAGATAGCCAAGATTCCTAAGCACAAATGCAAACCCATCATATCATCAAAAAAGACAAAATAAATGAAAATCCAAGAAATAAAACACACCAACTGCTGACCATCTTTCAAGCCAACTAAGGGTGCTCAGCCTTCGACTAAAGTTATTATAGCTATACCTTATATATGTTCAGTTCAAGGTAACAACAACAAAAAGATCAATATTCAAATATAACCTCTTCATAACCGTGACAAGTTTCATAAGAAAAAGTTGAACTAGGAAAGAAGATAGCCTTCCTAGGTCGGGCATGATGTCCATAAGCGATGATGTTACCTTTTTTTCTCCAATCTAAGAAAATGTTTATGGGTTTTGTGATTTTTCTAAGAATCTGATACGCCCCCTTGATGATCAAAGAATTCAAATAGGTGGGCCCAAGGGGCCCACCGTGACTTTCCCCCCTTGCTCCCTGGGTTCGGCCGAACCCCCCCTTGGTTCACCCGGACCGGCTGCCTCCCCCCTCCTCCTGTAGACCCGCAAGGGGGTAGGATGGACAGAATCTTACAAGTTTATTACACCTCTCACCATTTTTTCCTTTGTTAGCAAATTCCCTACACTAGGCATCAAATAAGGTTATTCAAAAACTGGTTTAAGCTCTAACATTGTATTATTTGCTAGCTAAAAAAGAGAATATCATGAAAAATTATCTTACGAGTATTATGCAAAGATAATATCAGTTTCAAGTGTTAATTCAATATAGAATAAACTAATAGTCAGGTTTAGTATGACGAAAATCAAAATATCAAAATGAACTTGCAAAAGAAAGGGAGGTGGGAGTGGCAAACTAGCACCAGCTAAATAAGATATAATTGAAAATAGCTTGAAGTAGTTTGGGCACTTACAACAATCAATGAGAGATTAACTAGTAAGGCTAGTAGATAACACTTTTCTGAAATGATTAGAAAGGGAAAAAAAATGGGCCAAAGCCAAGATAGTTATAAATTATGTAGAAGGCTCGTGTAATATACGAGAGAACAAATCATATACTTCCTGGGTAGGGATAAGGATGATGATAATGATGAAGAAGGATGGGGTAAAAAATAGATGTGAATCATGTGATCAATTAGTTCTTGTTTCAAAAATGAAATAAATTTATTTCATTAGTTCTTGTTTCAAAGAAATTTGCAAGAGGATGTACCTTGGTGTATGTTTTTTGCTGATGATATTCTTCTTGTTGATAAGACTAGAGAGGGAGTTGAAGCTAAACTTGAATTATGGATGTCAACCTTAGATTCTAAAGGTTTTCACTTGAGTAGATCTAAAACTGAATATATGGAGTGTAATTTTAGTAGTACTAGACCTAGTGGATGGATTGTGACTTTGGCGATCAAGTCATTGATAAGAGTACACGTTTTAAATATCTCAGATCTATTGTTCAGAGTGATGGTGAAATAGATGAGGATATTATAAGTAGAATTCAAGTTGAATGGTTGAAGTGGAGGTAGACCTAAAAAGACTTGATTAGAAAATATTAGAAATTATATTTCTTTGTTAGATTTAAATGAGAATTTGATTTTTAACAGGACATGATGGAGAAAAAGGATTCATGTAGCCGACCCCACGTAGTAGGACAAAGGCTTGATTAATGTTGTAGACAATTTTTGGAGTTTGCACAGCTAAATCTTTCTCAATCCGATTAGACATTATTCTCATTCCATTATGGATGCTTCACCCTAATCTACAAGAGGCTTCAAACCTTATTCTTTTCGTATTCCCCATTCCATTATGTAGAACTCCTTGATTGATCTTCCACCAAGCAGGACATAACGAAAAATGCTTCAATAACAAGTGTATCTTCTTTCTTTAGTTCTTGTCACAAGTCTGATTACTATAGCTAGAGTTTGAAATTGCAGAATCATCTATTGAGGCATTATATATCCATAATGCGAGGTGAAATTATCAAGGCATTTGAGTTGTAGGTTGTAAGCATCAGAATTAAACTACTAAATTAATAAAAAATATGAAATAATAAACAATATACCAATATCAAAGAACAATCATAACATTAAGCCCTTCAAACTCTCAATTCAACATAAACAAGTATTCTAGGTCACTAAGATAATAATTTATGAATTCAAACATCTACCCACTCTTATTACTTGGTGAGATTTCAGTTATAGTGAGTTGCTTTATCTCCTCCCACATTCCCAGTTGTTGTTATTATCGGTGACATCTGGCATGAGTCAAGTAGTTGCGTGTGAATTTTGATTCTTGATTCTGTTTGTTTTAGGTTTATCTGTAGATAAATAACACAATAAGATTTATTTTAGAATATGTATTGCTCCCTGTTACAAAAATGGTGAGATATGATCATATGTCCTCCTAGGTAAAAAAAATTAAGTCTCCAAACTAGCACAAATTAAGATCCTGAAAACTATAGAAAAGGCTTTTAAATTTAATAAACCAAAATAGACAAAGGCCCAAGATGAGGAAATGAAAGCTCCAAAAAAAAAAAAAAAAAACATGAAAAGTTACTCTAAGACCCATGATGCAATTCCTATTGGTTATTAAATGGGTATTCAATGTGAAATATTGATCTAAAAATCAATTGTGAAATATATAGCATGATTGGTTACAAAAGAATTCAACTAGACTTATGAGATAGACTAGTTTGAAATCTATACTTCTGTAACTAAACTTAACACCATTGATATTTTCTTAATGGCAATCAACCTTGAATGAACATTTCACCAACTATGTTAAGAATGTATTCTTGGATAGTGACTTAAATGAAGAAGTCAATATGGATATTTCTATAATGATCAATTAATCTGGGAAAACAGTAATAGCAGGCAATTTAAAGAAAAAAACAATTTACAGCTCAAATGATCAACTCGAGTCTGATACAAAATATCAACCAAAAGTTGTGGGTCAACTAGAGTTCAAACAGACCCACTCTAATCAAACCTTTTCTGCGAATATAATAATAATGAGCCTGCCATTTTAAGTATGTATGTTGATGATATCAATTTAACAGGAGATCATGACTTGGAGATATGCACTATGAAGGAAAAACTTGCAAGTTGCAGTTATAGAGTAAGACAAAAAAGCTATAAGCCACAACATGCAAAAAAGGCCACATTGACTAATAGCTCTATGGTTGAAAAATGAAGACATCATGAAGACCTTATTGAATACCGAAAGCAAGAGTAGATAACTAATAAGCATATTGTGCAAATCCTTCTCCTTTCTATGCAGGAAAAAAAACACATTGTCTAGCCATTTGTATTTGTTAGCTAGGCTTGAGGATTCTTTAAGGTCTTGTTTTAGGATGAATACATAAAACACTAAATAAAATATACTATAGAATACTAATCGTAATAGTACTTAACAACACCAGCATTATACTATTCGAAATTACATGAATATCATGCTTTACAATCCTATTCTTCTCTAACTACTTGCATTTGATGCATGAATGAACTTAGCAGTTATTTGATTCAAACTTACTAACTTGTTTAACTCAGTTTAAGCTTTTTTTTTTGCCAAACACAAATTTGTCCATTCTCTTATGCCAAGTTAAGCCAAGCATGACTTATGTTCAATTAAAGAGAAAAGAAGATAAACTAAGATCCCTTTCAACCTCACTTAGCTTAGTTAGTAGTCTTCTTGCTACAATCTATTCGCAATCTAAAAGCCAGGCTCCCATCTTCTCCCTTCCATGGCGAACTCTCCTCCTTGTCCTCTTCTCCCTTAATGAACTTCACTCTACCCCTCATACGCTATGTTGCACCGATACACCTAATTAGGAAGGAGTGTTGTATCTGATACACCGATATACGGACATGCCTCCAATACAGCACCGATACGTGTCAGATATGGCAAAGCCGTATCCAATTAAAATACTACTAAATTTCAAAAGGACACGTGTATCTGATACGCGTGTCTGTTGAAAAACAAAAAAAAAATTGAAAAAAGGATGCGTCGTATTTACTTCCGGGCTGCGAGCGAGGTTCACTCATTTCCGAGATGCATTTGAGTCTCTTGATGATATGGGAATATTAGAAATTGCTAAACTTTTACTTGATAAGCCTGAATTAGAAGCTATGATATTTATTGAAGATGATATAGAGGTTCAAAGATAAATCACTAAAGAAGCTATTCATATCATTCCTTCTATTGAATAGTTGAAGCTTCATATGCTAGACAATTTATGTTTATGCTTTTGTTGTTGTACTAGACATTTAATGCTTACTTTTCTTTTGATATTATAAGTTACAAGGCTACAAATGATGTTGCTTTCATTTTGTTTGTAATTTCAAATATTATGCTTTGATTGGTTTCTTAATTTTTATGTATGATTTATAAATTATAGTGACATGTCCACCCGTACCCGTATCCAGTATTTTTAAGAATTGACGTGTCCCATACCAGTATCGTGTCGTATCCGTGTCGTCGTATCCATATCGATGCAACATTGCTCATATGTTATTCCTCTTTATTGTTGATGTTGTCCTCATTTGACATCCATGGATAGGATAAAGGTTTAAAATTGCGTAAATAAGCCTCGAGGCGCTGAAAGTCGTAAGCCTCACAGACGAATAATTGCGTAAATGAAAATTTAAGTATTCTAGCAGGTAAATAACAGTAAGAATCTATGATACAATAAAAACATCTAAATGTGAAGTGAACTTAGTGGAAAACAATAAACTAGATGCATTATATGCATTTATATCATAATTCAAAGTACCATTTCACAACTTGAAGTCTATCAAAAGTCAAAACTCCCAAAATACAAATAAGAAAGAACATCTAAAACCCAATCATGTCCCATCACAAAAATTGCATTTCAAATACACGTATGTCTTCTCTCCACCGCCTACATCAACCTGTACACTGTACTTCCAAGAAGGGTCCCTCCGCAATGACGTATTTGACTTTTCCTTTCGCCTAATCATGTTTCCTAATGCACAAATGTAAAATCAAATAAAAAATCTCAAGAAAATTTAAACCCTAGATTTTCTATAACTTGAAAAATAAAACCTTGAATTAAAAAAAATACCTAAAACTCATAGTGGAGGTGTCGTAGAGGGCGGCCTGACTCAAGTTTCTCACCGGCGTGAGGCGGAGCTGGCGGGAGAGGCGGCGGGAAGGCCGGCCGAGGGAAGCTATGGTGTGCGGACTGCGGCTTGCGGAGCTCTTCCGTTCAATTCGGGTAGGCGGAAAGAAGAAAGGGATGAAATGATTTTTTTTTAAGAACTTAAGTGTGTGGGACCCGGCTCCATGAGGCGTAAGCCTCACCAAAAATTGCGCAATTAAGCCTCTGAGGCACGCCTCAGGATCCATGAGGCGTAAGCCTCACCCAAACCCGAAACTGCTTAAGCAATGAGGCTCTTTGGGGTAGAATTGCGCAGAGGCGAGCCTTGAGGCGTGCCTCTTATTGCGCAATTTTAAACTATGGATAGGATTTGGATTTGGGTTTTCTTCTAGGCTCATATTGTCTTTCTCGCTCCCATCTTCCTTTAGATTCTGGATAATTTTTGTGCCCTCATTGTTGTATTACTTAAGTTATGCTCATTGTATTTTTCATAGGGTAACACACACTGGTCATGGGGAGGCGTTTTCAAAAGTTTTCATAATTTTAAATGATATAGCAATTCCATCATACAACTTAAACCTAAATGTAAGACGCAAATATGAAGAAAAACACCAAATAGCTTCATCGGCTTATATTAGGCTTCCTTGTAACCAACCAACCGACTTAATGCAACTTATGATTGAAGCTCCAAAAGCTTACTAATTAAGCTCGCTAACCTAACTTAAATAGATAACTAATTAAACAGCCCCTTGCACTTGAAGAATTGCAACTGAAAGACAAGAAATATCATAAATGATGGTTGTTCATACCAGAAATGAAAGAGACCAATAAAAAGGCTGAGAAAAAAAGGAAGATGAAAATGAAGTTGTCAATAATGATCATGAGTATCGCAATCTTCATCATGCCTACTATTTCTATTATTAGTATCATGGTAATATTAACCATAATAGAAATAGCAATGCAGCATCATGACATTGAAATATATAAATAGAGGGAATGAAGGAGGAGGAGGATACATGGTTGTAGAAATAGTAATAGAAGGACTACTATTTCTATGTTCAAACCATAGAAGTTTGTTTCCAACCATAGTATTTTCAATAAAGGCCACTCTAATCGCCCTTCTTAAATAATTGTATCTTAATTTATGCTTCAGTAGTTCTTCCAGACATCTATATTAACATTATCATTTCCTTCATGCTCAACTTAGCTATCACTAACTTCTTTCTATGAAACATTTAGATGCATGGTACATAACTAACCTAATTGAAGTTTCATAAAATTTACCTTTAAGTTTATATGCTATCTCTTCTAGCATAATATTCCTAAGGCATCTCTCTCTATTTTAACACTAAGGCTTCATTTGGGACAATTTTTCCTTGCTTTCTAAAACAGCTTTTTAGTGCAAAAATTTTTAATTCTATAGTATATATATAGACTCAACATTTAGTTGAAAATTTTTAAGTTATCTATCATCTAAATATTTTCTTCATTATTCTAACATTAAACTTATTTTACTATATATCTCATTGATTGGCTACGTAAGCTGTGGAAAGAAGACATAATGCTTCTCATTTGGAATATCCTTTGTATGCATCTTAGAACTAATACAAAAGAGAACCAACTCAGGCAAGTCTAATAAAAAAACTAAATCGATAAGTCCCAAAAATTCCCTGCTCAAAACGGAATACGACCCACTGCATCTCAGACTTCTCAAAATAAGTACCGCCTTGAGTCCATCTTTCCAGCTGCATGACCAACCCTAACAAATGCTTGGTGTTTATATCCTCCACCCTCCCACAATTTTCGTTAGTGAATCTTTAAGTATGCTGATTTCTACATCAATCTCTTAAGAAGAAAAGCGCATGATAATGCAGCAAGAATGGAAGTGAAAAAACGAATATTAGAGGAAAAGGGCAAACCCTTGGCATCCTCCGGCGCAGCACTTGCAGCTTCTGCAGAAATGACGGCAGACTCTTCGTCGTCTTTCCCCCTTCTCTCATCTTCCACTAACACTTCTTCCTCATCGATCTCATCCTCTCCACTGCCTTCATCCTCACCCTCTTCCTCCATCTCTTCAGCCTCTTGCTCATCGTTGCCTTCACCCTCTTCCTCTCCCTCTCCCTCTACCTCCTCAACCTCGTCGATCTCTTCTTGCTCTCGATCTATACCATACTCCACCAACTCCTCGACTTCTTCACCTTCGCTGTCCCCACCTTCAACTTCCTCCTCCTCTTCAACTTCGCTAGCCTCTTCCTCATCGTCCTCCTCCTCTTCCGCCTCAACGTCCTCTTTTTCTTCGCCTTCTGATACCTCCTCCTCCTCCTCCTCATCCATCTCTACTTCTTCCTCTTCAACTTCGAAATCCTCCTGATCCAACATGGGCGAATCGACACCATCAGCAAGAGCCGAGGGATCGGCCTTTTCCAAATGCTCCGGCATGCCTGTGGCGGCGAGGACGGCGATGGAAGCTTGAGGACGATCACTAAGCTATCCAAAGGGGAGCGTCGAAGAGCTTCGGATTTCGCCCGTACAACTCAAGAATCCAGATAGGTTCGCTTAGGTTTTGCGCACCTTTGCCCCCGATATGCGCCTATAGCTTCTTCCTCCTTCGTACACATTAGGGTGGTTTGGTTCGCTGAAGCCGAGTCACAAAGTGCTTCTAATAAACAAAATAACAATGGTTTTATGAAGTGTTTAGGACTTAAATAATAGTATGAATGGATTGGTAATTCTGCTTCGATATAGTAATTTCAGAAAAAAAAAATTACAATAATTTTGTAAATTATCTCGCTCTGTTGGCACTTATGTTAAACCATGTTGAACCGCTTGGTTCAATATCTAGCCCATGACGGGCAAAAAAATTTAGGTGAGAATACTCTGAATAAAATTTTATCAAAATTAATTTAAATTTTATTGAACTTATTTTAAGATGAATATAATAGAAATTTAAATTGATTTTATATGTATTACATTAATTTTAAAATTAATATAATAAATAGCTCATCTTGATCAATTAGTTGGGAGTTTTAACTATCAACCAAGATGTCTTGAGTTCAAAATTTACGTATATGATATTTGTGTGAGTATGTCTTAATTAGCATAAATGTTCCAAAAAAAAATAATATAATGATTTTAAGTTATATTCTAATTAAATATTGAATAGAGTATCCTTTCTCCATACGAAGTTTATAAAAAAAAATGTTTTCATCAAGATGATAACAACATATTTTATTTCAACTGTGATACTTAACAAATTACAATCAAATAAAAAATTCTACCTAACCGATTAACCTGATTTATTCTACTGCATCGCTTGAATATCTTTTTATGCAAATTGTACTCAATAAGAAAGACAATAAAAAATATGGGCTCACATATATCTTCTCTGATGTTTACCATGTATGTGACATGTTACAAAGGATGAACTTACATCTCGTTGAACTCGACAATGAAGGCTCTTTTGGTGTTCACCAACACCTATTCGGCAAAGTAGCCATACATGAGTTGTCTCTTAAGGAAATGTTAAGGGTTCACACAGGCTAGTCAGATTAGGACTAGCCCTATTTATGATAAGCACGCCTCAAAATTATTCTTCATCACCTCGAGCAGTGAGTCGTCAACAAAATTCATCATAGTAGCTATAAGGAATGATTATCTCAAAAAACACTCAATCTCACCTCCTCATACTTGAACAAACATGAAGTCCACTATCCCTACTGCTTAAAAAAAAATCGACCTAACTGATTAACCTGATTGATTCTCTAGCATTGCTTAAATGTCTTTTATGTGATTTGTATGCAACAAGAAAGACAATAAAAAATATAGACTCACATATGTCTTCTCCGATGTTTAACATGCAGCTGACATGTTACAAAGGATGAACTTACATCTCGTTGAACTCGGCAATGAAGGCTCGCTTGGGGTTCACCAGCACCTGTTCGGCAAAGCGACCATAAATAAGTTGTTTCTCAAGAAAATGTTAAGTGTTCACACAGACTATTCAGATTATGACTATCCATATTTATGATAAGCACACCTCAAAATTATTCATCATCACCTCAAGTAGTGAGTCATCAACAATTGGTTGGGAGTTTTAACTATCAACCAAGAGGTCTTGAGTTCAAAACTTACGTATATGATGTTTGTGTGAGTATGTATAAATTAGCATAAATGTTCCCACAAAAATTAATATAATGATTTTAAGTTATATTCTAATTAAATTTTGAATAGAGTATCCTTTCTCCATATGAAGTTTATAAAAAAAATGTTTTCATCAAGATGATATCACCATATTTTATTTCAACTGTGATACTTCACAAATTACAATCAAATACAAAATTCGACCTAACCGATTAACCTGATTGATTCTACTGCATCGCTTTAATATCTTTTATGCAAATTGTATTCAATAAGAAAGGCAATAAAAAATATGGGCTCACATATGTCTTCTCTGATGTTTACCATGTAAGTGACATCTTACAAAGGATGAACTTGCATCTCGTTGAACTCGACAATGAAGGCTCTTTTGGTGTTCACCAACACCTATTCGGCAAAGTAGCCATACATGAGGTGTCTCTCAAGGAAATGTTAAGGGTTCACACAGACTAGTCAGATTAGGACTAGCCCTATTTATGATAAGCACACCTCAAAATTATTCTTCATCACCTCGAGTAGTGAGTCGTCAACAAAATTCATCATAGTAGCTATAAGGAATGTTTATCCCAAAAAACACTCAATCTCGCCTCCTCATACTTAAACAAACATGAAGTCCACTGTCCCACTTGCCTTCATCCACTCAATCTGTGAGTAATTGGTACAAGGGGGCTCGGCCAAAGTCTAACAAGTTGACCTTACAGTAGTAGTAGAACCTATAAACAATAAAACACTATGGCATGAAAGCCAATAAAATAGTAAACCAGTACGTTTATTAGATATACAAATGAGGGTATCTTGATCTTGCTATACCCTTATAACTCATGATCAATGTTCAGCTCATTATGACTTTCAATCAGTGAATCACATGGATCAGTCGTCCCGACTCTTTATGACTCTCAATTAATTTTCAACTCCTTATTACTCCCAATCAGTGAATCAAGTGGATCTTTAGGGTATCATATATATAGTACATCATATCAATCATATCAATCATTTCAGCACATGTTATATCAAATCATAGCATATTACTATTCACCCAATATATATTTTTTCTACTCATTTCACATAAAAATTCTTATACACGTATTTAACCGATAAAAATATAATAATATCATATAAAATTATTGAGAATGCTCAACTTTATAACATCTCAAAAGTTACACTATGAAAGCTTCTGAATCATGAGATAATGCTTATTTAACATATTTAAAAGAGAAAATTTCTAGAAATCAAAAGCATTAAAAATAGGAGTAAGAATATATTACTTACATCAAATTGAATAAAATTCGTAACATAATTGCATGACTAAAAAGCCCAAAAGAGTTTCCTCTCTCTACTTCTCCCTTCCCTCTCTCTCCCCTTCTCTTCCTCTATTCCTTTTTCTTCCCAGCCAAGCCACACGAAATGAAGAGGGTAATTAATGGGGTTATGACAAGGATATATATAATAAAATGTATAAAAGGCTTACTTAAGTGTCTATCATCATGGTGCTATAGCGCTAGGATCCATATAAAGCGATTACCCAACTATTTCTTCTCTTTTATGGGGTTCTTTTCAAGTGTACTTAGGGTTGCAAGAGAACCAAACGTTCGACAAGCTACTCGTTGTTCAGTTCGATTAAAACTTGTTTGTGATCGTTTAATTAGCTAAACAAACAAACTTGAACAATATTTTGAATACTCGTTCTTTAAATAAACAAACTTGAACACTAATGTGTTCGGCTCATTTATGTTCATGAACAACCTCATTTAAAGCTCATGAACAAGCTTGCATTAAGCTTGATAAGAAGCTTAATAAAAGCTCAATTAGTGTTCGATTCAGAACTCTTGAATAAGATAGATAAAAACTAAATTAATATTTGATTATAAAATTGCTAAATATATGTAATATAAATATTTTATATTTATTATAATATACTGATATAATTATTGTTAAATAATAAATTTTAAAATAATTAAATATTATAGTGTATGCTAATTAAAAAAATTCGCTAAATATATTCACGAACATGCTCGATGTAATTATTTGTTAGGAGGCTCGATAAAGCTCGTCTGTTAAGTTTATGAACATCTAGAAGTAGAGCTTCTTTATAACTCGTTAAGGCTTGTGTGTTTAAAGCTCGATAAGCACAAACAAATCAAACAAGAACTGAACATGAATACTCATTAATTTAAACAAACAAAACATGAACAAAAACAATAAAGCTCGAATCAAACATGAACCAAACTTGAACAAGCTGATAATAAATGAACTCAAACATTAACACTCACATAATCAGCTCGGCTCGGTTCGTTTGTAGCCCTAAGTGTACTGAAAAATCCTTTGGTAGTAAGAAATCAAATGCTAGAGAATTCATTTCTAATAAATACTCTATCTAAGAAATTAGATACCATAGCCCCAGTTATTTCTCTTATTGGATCATTGTCGAAAGATCGATTTTGTACTGTATTGGGTCATCCTATTAGTAAACCGATTTGGACCGATTTATCGGATTATGATTTTCTTGATCGATGCATGTTCATTCAAGAACCCCTATAGAACATAGGCATTAATGGCGCAATGACAATTTCTAGCGCCGTTGTGCTCTAAAGCATAGCACTATGTCATAACGCTCAACTCAAAATTTTCATTTAAATAATTTTTTTTTAGAAGCTTTTGGGTTGTACATGTTTTCTCTTGATTGGGTTAGTCGATGATGCGAGAGGACCTCCTTTCCTATACCTTAAAGGAAAAGGGAGCCCAATTGTTGAAAGAGTTATGGAAGTTGGATAACTCCTCCAATATAGCGCTTTGAATTTTCTTAACTTCCTAGAGTCAATCATTGATGGATAACTCTTTATTATGGTCCTCATTGGTGATGGAATCAGATATAAGATTAGCAAACAAATTATTGATTTAACTTTATTTCTCCAATATCTATTAGCATATGAAACTAGATCTACAAGCAAGGAATATAAGCAATAGCCATGAAATTAGATAATAGTGGTTAACTGAACATTGCATGTTAAATTGAGCCATTGTCCATTATCATGACTTGGATCAAATGTGTAACACTAAAAAATGCAACCTTCTAATGTCAACATCAACCCAAAACATGGTGACATTCAAAGTTCCAAATGATCCAGGTAGGATATTACAAGTTAAGCTCTTGGGATACCCACACACAATAATACTCGAAAGCCCTCTCTGGAACATCCTCACCCTGATTCTCAAAAGCAATCATAAGAATATTCTCAAAAGCTTTCCACCACCATGTTTAGCTCCTTTGAGGTTGTCCTTAGCTCAAATACTTCCATGCCAACATAGTTTGGAATGGTTGGGTGGTTCCATCCCATCACAAAGAATAAAATACCATGAAGTACTTATTCTTCCACCCTTCATTGGAAGTCAACAAGCTCGTAATCCTCAATATATAAGCATGGTGATTATGGAAGTGACAAAGCCCCCCCCCCCCCCGCAGAAAAATTTGAAGAAACTGAGAAA